ATCAATCGTCCTAATACTAATTGGTTTTACACGAATCAGACTCCACCGACCAGTCTATCAGGTATTATAAATAGAGTATATCAGACTCCACTTTAAAGCATCATTGATCTCGATTTGTTTTATTTGTCAACAAAAAGAAATAGAGATCGAAGCAAAACCCTAAAGAGAGTAGTATATGGCGAAGGAGATGATGAGAGAACCTTCGATGTTGAGTATAAACGAGTCTAATTCATTGGAGTTTGTCTCTATTCTTGGGCGAGGGGGCTTCGGTTCCATCTCTCTCATGAGAGATTCCAACTTCCGATTACACGCAGAGAAATCATCTCCGCTCGATCACTTGATGAATCTCGAGAAAGAGCTGAGGATCATGCAACGTTTCCATAACCATCCTCGCATCGTCCAAGCATCAAGTCCTCATCTTCACATAGGGCTCAACCCCGGAAGAGGCTCCATCTTCATGGAGTTTGCATCCAAAGGTACTCTCCACAACATGATCTCTCAGTTCCGTGGAAGACCAATGCCTGAAAATATGGTCGGACACGTCGCTCTTATGATCCTACAAGGACTCGAGGCTCTTCACTCACAAGGTTACGTTCACTGCGATCTCAAGCCAGCAAACGTTCTCGTCTTTCCTTCCAAGACTATTGGAGAACGGTGGGATCTCAAGCTTGCTGATTTTGGTTTATCCAAGGAGCCATGTACGGATTCTAGGTCTTTGTTTGGTGGTACGCATGAGTACATGCCTCCGGAGTCTTTTGGACCAAACAGAGTTATCGGACCAGCAGTTGATATATATTCTCTAGGTTGTGTGGTTCTTGAGATGTTTGGAGCTTGTCCATTGAAGATGGGAAATTACTACACGTGGAGGCTTCCTAAACTCGTGTCTCCGCTGGCCACCGACTTCTTGAGGCGGTGCTTGGATCTGCAGCCGTCACGTAGAGCCACCGCGACGGAGCTATTGAGGCACCCTTTTGTTACGCAAAGAGTGATCAATGTTTCGCCTAGGGCACAGGTGCTTCCGTATCCTTGTTTCCAAAGGTTTCCTTGTGTCGTAAGGAACAATGCGATTGAAGAATATTGTAGAAGGCGAGGAGAACCGGTGATGATGCATTGATGATGATTCCAAGACCTGAAGGATTTGATATGCTGAGATCAACGGTGGAGATTCTTTAGGGTCATATTTAGGTTTCAATTGAATCTCTGTCTTGGCTTGTTGCGCAAGTAAAAGAGTATAAGTCAGATTCTACTTGTGAGATTTCGTAATTTAGTAACTTCGTGTGAGAGATTGTTTTCAACATTGTAATATCTTCAATTTTTATGGGAGATTACTCTCAGATTTAGAACATAAAATTCGTCTCAAGTATTGGACCGTTAAATCTAGATATTTGTTTGATAAGTATATTCCGTTGAGATTAATCTAGTTATATATGCTTCTTTTTATCACTTTCTCTCATACATATTTGT